AACTCCAACAGTTTCTTTAAACTGCATAAGAAAGGATTTGAGTTTCATAAAAAAGAAAATTGAATCTATTGGAAAATTTGAATAGACAGGGGCAGGCGCAGTAGGGCTCAGTCTCACTGTTCTCAATTTTTAAAAATCTCAAAAGTAAATTACTGTCTAATGTTCACACTGTATGTTAATCGTTCAGACATTGATATACATAGGACTGTGGTTAGAGATCAGCTTGTACTAACTGGTGCACTGTCAGAAGGGTATGATTTGAGGGAGACAGAGATTCCTCCTTCCCAATATTCCTCCATTAGCTTCCTCAAGTTTGTATTGATTTTCTTTGAAAAGATCAACTTTAGCTAGGAGTAGGAGTTTTACTTTCTGACAGATGTGATTATGTGATAAGTAACACCATTTTTATTTTGCAGCTATTTCTGAAGGAGTGGGATGTAGCTGTAGCTCAGTCTTGCTTTGAACCAGACTGTCTATATTTGAATTGCAGCTCCTCCACTAACTAGCTCTTTAAAATGAGGGTGATAGACTATTTTACAGCAACATACGTCATAGGGCTGAATGAAGAAATGTATGATCTATCATGTTAATGAGATAAAAGGATTGAAGAATGGAATCACCTTAGCCAGGGGTATTATGTGTGTGTGCGGGGTGGACGGGGGGAGACTAGGAGTAGCTCAAGAACATCAATAAAGAACATTTAAGCATGCTAAAAGATAATAAGAGATCACCCAGAAGGGTGGTGGATGTTAATGGTTTTCTTTTTTCCATAGTTTTTCTGAGAATCATCTACCTATTGATTAAAGCCTTATTACTCTGCCAATGTGGCTGCCAGGGAAAGATTAGTATCGGGCTTATTTCTCATCTTAGGGTCCACTTCTGATTTTCTTTGGCATTAAAAGAATTTTTTGGATTATCCAGTTAACTTATTTTTTCCCCTTTAATTTCATTCAATATATTTTTTTTACTAAGGAATGAAAGTATCAAAATTGTCAAAGTCTATTTTATATCTTTGTAAGAAATTTAGTGATTGTAAAATATCTCTCAAAGAGACAATGACAGAAGTAAACAGGATGCATTCAGAGAATGTTAATGGCACTGGTCAACCTGTATGTTGCATCAAATGAATTGTTAGATGGCCAAAACAGATTGTGCGACAACAGCTTTCCTGTAGATTCATCCTCATCTCACTTTGTGTGTCAAGAGTCCCTGTGACCACTTAGTATTGGCCAATGAAACAGCAGAAATACTATCTTTTTTCTTTACTGTAATTTTTGCATATGTGATTCCTCAGTGAATTACTTAGAATTGAATTTGATTGTGACTATCCATAAAAATCATATGACTGTGGTTTAACCAAGAAAGAAGCTCATTTCTCTCTCCCATTAATGCCCAAGTATAGGCAAAATGAGTGCCTTTAACTGCAGGCATTTCTGCTTCTTGAGATACTCAAGGACATGGGTTTCTTTCTTGGAGATCCTCCATCCAGGAGATCAGTTCCTTAAATCAATCTATCATTTCCCCATTTGGAAGAAGAAAGGGAAAGAGAAAGGGGAAAATGAAAGGGAAAGGGAAAGGGAAAGGAAAAAGGATGTTCTCACCATTTAAAGACACTTTCTAGCACATCTGGTAACACTGTGCTCACGTCCCACTGGTCAGAACTTCATCACAGACTGTCTATCTGTGAGAGAAATTGAGAACTCTATCCTCATGCACAATCATCTGCTCCAGAAGAAGATCAGATGTTTAGGGCAAATAGCAGCCTTTGCCATCCTGGGTCTAGGGCGATTATGAGTCAACCTACAAGATAAGTTACAATGCAACATGCACTCAAATATTCATTTGAGCATTGCAGAGCTATCTTCAATTGCTCAGTTTCTTAAATTGTATAAGTAATTAATGATCACAAAAGGAACCAATTTATTTCAATGAATATTTTAGTGAATTAGAAATACAAGCAAAAAGATAGAATTTTAGTGATCTTCTTGATTTCTTCACTGCAAAATTATTAAATTCCCATAGTGGATTCCTTGTAGAATAGGCTGCATGCCTAGCTGGAGGATCAATTATTTTCCAAGCTGGAGGAAATTTAGGGACGTCTAGGTTTGTAGCTTGGAGAATGAGTATCGTGTCAACCACGACTTTCTTGCTCAGACCCTTTACTTGATTCTAAACATTGACTTAAAAAATAAACCTCACTTTTGAGTTTTACCAAGTAAGGATTTTAGTATCAACATTGTTATGGATTAAGAACTGGTGGTCAACTTAATGCTAGCTGGATTACACCAGCATGGCACTGAGAGTAGCTGCTCCACCTGAGGAAAGTTGCCAGCATAAACAGAGAGGTGGAGAAGGAGAAGGAGGGTGTTAGGCATTAAGGCGTTATTGCGTTGAGGCACTGTGGGTTCTCCTACAAGTTGCTGTTTGAGCTATTGGTACTCCTAGAGAAGCTGTGGTCCTCACATTGAGCATTGCTTCCTGGCTCAGGAGGGGAAGACATGCGCCATTTGGTCTCCAGGATGGACTCATCACACTGGCTCCCTGGCACGTACCTGACTGTGCTAGTCATTGGAGGAGCTTGGGGCCTCCGTGTTGCTGAGGATGGCTGTGGTGCTTTGCAGGACAGCCCTGGTCTTTGTTGTGAGTGTGGCTTCTTGGCTCTAGCATAGAACCCTCATCCCACTAGCACAGCTCCTTCACCCTGCTGGCATGGACTTTCTGGCTTCTACCTCTGACCTTTGGGCCTTCCGACACGGATCCGTAAAAGAGACTGGTGTGAGTCCTTTTTGTGGGCTGTGGACCTCCAGTTGGACTCATGGGAGGCATTGTCATGAGCTCTGGGTTTTCATCTGGACTCATGTGAGACATTGCTCTGGGTTTTTGGTGTGGCGGATAGATTTCCTGCATTTTCTTGTGTTAACTCCCCATGACCATTATAAAAATAATATTATAAAATCCATGTCCTGATTCTAATTGTTCTCTGCACAACCCCTTAACTGTAACAAACATTCTCCTCAGTCCTCCTGCTGACAGTGCCCTAATTTTTTCTTTAGGATCATGCACCATTTGTCTCCAATGGCAATTACGTGCAGGTTTACATTCATGTGATTGCCCTGACCCTGTGTCTATGGGGTTGACTGGTCTGTTTGTTACCTACTGCCAGTCATCCATCTCTCAGGGCTTCTGTGCACTGCCTGGAGCTCTCTAGGCTGCTTACCCCACTAGAGTGCTTTTTGCCTCTGAATTTCTACTTTCCCATTCCAGTCCATTCAAGAAAGCCTCCAATGACATGATCGTATCTTTATAAATCCTAATGATGCTGAGGAGAAATGAAAAGTTCCGTGACACATTCTAAATCCTACTTGCACAATGTACCAACCAAAGCATTCTGTACTTACATTGTCCCTGTTACAGAGACATAGCCCATGATGGAAGAGCTGGGAACAGCCCAGCATGCTCATGGAAACTGTGGCTACAAAGTAAAACTGGAACTAACTGATACATGCACAGGGCAAAGGATTCCCTGCACATGATCAGAATTGGTTACTATGTGAAGTAAAAAGTACTTATAATTTTTGGTTATGTAGTTCATGATGAATATCATCACCTTCCATAGCAAGCCAGGCATGTGTTATTGGCTTGAAAGTATCATAAAAAGCATTCTCAATATTGCTCTTTACAAATATTTAAAAATTTCTTTCTTTTAAGGATAAACTAGAGATTTTTATAGATAAATGGATGCAACTTGAGGCCATACTCATAAGTGAAATAAATTAGATATTTACATGTGTAGATATTGTATTGTTTCCCTGGTGTGAGAAGCTGAAGGAGTAAATAAGATCCAAAATGTACAATAGCTATAGTGAAATGGGAAGAAATTGTTCAAAAGGAAAGAGAAACTGAGATGGGGAGAGGAGAAAAGAACAGAGGTAAGAGTATATATGTATATATATAATAGTTAAAATAGTTGTATTACTAATTTCTCTTATTTCATTGAAAAGAAAAATTTGTGCTAGTATTATCTGGGCAATTAAGTACCTATCTTTTACTCTGAGTAACTAATTTAAACCCTGTCATTATCTTGTTTTAAATTTTAAAATTTTGGGTTTTTTTTCTCATTAAAATAAAATTAAAACCTGGGAACCATCTCTGAGGCTGCAGGGACTGGGAGTCTGCTCCCAGTGACCTGCAGTCATCCAGGAGCCACAGTGAGGTCTATAGGGACTGGGAAGCTGTATGCAATGATCTGCCCACACCCAGGAACCATCTCTGAGGCCCATCGGGACAGGGAGTCTGCACCCAGAGGCCCACAGGGACTGAGAGATGCCCCAAATGACTCTCCTACACTTACGAACAATCTCTGAAGCCCCCAGAGGCCAGGAGCTCACACTCAGTGACCCACAACCATTGGCAGCCCTCAGTGAGGCCACTGCTAAATACGCTGCCAACACAGGAAGCAACTAAGACTTGGCATCCACTTGATTCAGAGGAATCACAGGAAAATGCCAAAATGAAAGAACAAAATGCAGTCTCAAACTTCCAGCCCATCCAGATCTAATACAGGAGACACAACATGGATGAATTAGAAATCATACACCTGAAATTCCTGAAATGATAACAATGGAAGTAAAGAAACAACTCCAGAAAGCTGTAAAGGAAATCAGATCAGAAATAATCTCTCAAGTGAACACAGAAATGATAAACATAAAGAATTGGAGAGTATATACAAAGAAAACAGTAAAAAATAGAGAAGCATAGAAAACTGCCAATGGACAATGTGGGAAAACAATTAGAACATATGAAACAGGTTCAAAAAGATATCCAGGAAATAAAGATTCCATTGAAAGCTGGCAAAAAACACAAAAATGCAATTGAAGACAGACTCTCAGATCTTTTTTTTTTTTGTCTTTTTCCTTTTTATTGGTACCGGGGATCAAACTCATGACTGTTTGCTTGCAAGGCAGGCGCTTATGCCACGGAGCTAAACCTCCAGCCCAACTCTCAGATCTTGAAGACAGGATTGTGGCTAGTGATCACAAAGTGAAAGATCTCTTTAAAATAATAAGAAATCAGGAAATAACAATATGGCAGCTGCAAGAGAATGCAAAGGGAAACTGTAAGATTGATAGGTGTCAATGAAAAAGGAGACAACACAAAAGACATAAAAGACTTTGCAGAAATTAGAGCAGAAAATTTGCCAAACATGAGAAAAGAACCAGGCATCCAGACAAGCAAGGCATATAGAACTGCAATTAGCTGTAAGCAAAATAACTCTACATTGTGACATTTAATAATCAAGGTCTCAGCAGTTCAGCATAAGAACAGAATATTAAAAGCTGTTTGAGAGAAGAAACACATCACCTATAAAAGAAAGCTTACCAGAATCGCGGCTGACTTCTCAACACAAACCATCAAGTCAAGAAGAGCATGGAGTGAAGTATTTCAAGTACTGAAAAGAAAGCAGTTTTCAATGCAGATTGATATACCCCACAAAACTATCTTTCAAAATCAATGGAAAAATAAGATACTTACACAATAAAGAACAACTGAAGAACTTCTTGATCACCCAACCAACCCTCCAACGAGTATTGAAAGATATTCTAGAAACAGATAAAAATGACCACAGTTCTAAGAACAACTTAAAGAAAACAACAAATTGGGCACTCAATTAAACAGAGGGGAATATTAAGGAATCAACAGAAGAAAGATAGCATGAAAAAGATAAGCTAATACATATCAGTTATAACCATTAATGTAAATGGCCTCAATTCATCATTCTGTTTCAAAAGAAACAGAATGGCAAAGTGGATCAAGAAACAAAATTCAACAATATGCTGTATATAAGAAACACATTCAACTCAAAAGGAAGTTCATAGACTGAAAGTCAAAACATGGAAAACAATAGTCCATGTGGTGGGAACCCCAGGGGAAAAAACAAGGTAGCTATTCTATGTGCAGATAATGTGATCTTCAACAAAGAATGATCAAAAGAGATAAAGAAGATCACCACCTACTCCTTAGGGAAAAATTGTAAGAGAAAGAGATAACAATCATAAATATATATACACCAAATATGGGAGCATCTAACTATGTAAGATAAATAGTAATAGACATGAAAAATCAAATGAGCAATAATAAAATTATAAAATTAAAATTAATACCCCATTGTCACAAAGAGATAGATCAACTGTACAAAAAATCAGCAAAGAAATAACAGAAAGGAATAACCTTGTGAACAAATGAGCTTAGTAGACATGTACAGAGTGTTCCACCCAGCAACATCGGAGTACACATTCTTCTCAGCTGCACATGGGGCATTCTCTAAAATAGACCATATACTAACCCATAGAACATGCTTAAGGAAAGGAATTGAAATTATTCCATGCACATTATCTGACCATAATGCACTGAAATTAGAAATTAAGGACAAGAGAAACTGCAAAAACTCCATAAACAAATGAAAATTAAATAATACCCTACTGAATAACCAATGAGTTACAGAGAAAATTAAAGAAGGAATTAAACAATGTATATAATCAAACAAAAATGGCCTTGTTCCTGTATAGTCTCTAAAAATCCAAGGTAGAATTGTTGTGCTGTAAGTGATATCATGGGTACTGTTTGCTCTATGCTTATTGACCTAGTAACTATGTACGTGGAGCACCGGCCACATTGTTATAAATTTGTTATAAATTAACTGACCGTGTTGTCATGCTGTTCTGTATGCATCTTCCCCCAAGTAACCTGTTTGCTGTGTCAACCTTTGTTCCCCTTGTAAGAGACAAATGATGCTGTTTCCACCATTGTTCCCTTTATGAGAGACAAAGTTCCTGGAATTGGCAGACCAAGGGCTATGAATTGGCTAACAACCCACTGTGAGATGCCTCTGACCTCAAGCAAAGGGGAACAAAAGCCCACCTTGTTTCTGTTTCTCATCACTATGTACTTAATGATCAGTGAGCTAATCATAAATGAACTATAAAAATCAGTCAAAATTCTAACTCAGTTGCACAGCTTTGAAAATTCCATCTGCACTGTGTCTCTGGGCCAGCTAAAATAAAAGTGCTTCATAATAACTATTTTTATGTCAGGATATCTTGTGGTGAAACACTATTTGCTTAAATGCTTATGTTTTGACCTGCACTGTTCTGTTGTTATGCCCTCTCTTATCTCAATCCCCTCCTTTTTAAAAAATTATTTACTTTTTTATTTTTATTTTTTAATTAAGGGAAAAATAAAAAATAGCAGGATACATTATAGTAACCTACTTTGATTTCCTATTAACTTGATTTGAAATCCTGTATTGCCCTCACCATCTTGTTTTGACTGATTTTCCCCTATTCTGCTTTGCTTGATAGTACCAAGTTCGAAAGTATAGGCAACAACTGTAAAGACAATAAGATTCATTATGACGCCCATTCTGGTTGACTATTATCTTCTTTGAAAGTCCTGTAATGTCTCCAATGCTTTGGTTTTATTCTTTACTGTTTTGTTCAATTTTATTATAACTGGCAATTCTTAAAATAGCAAGAGGCAGTATGGTAACCATTGTTGATCACCTTGTATTTTGTTTTTACATTATCTATTATGTCCATCCTTTTGATTTGACTGACCCTGTTCTGACATGTCGCATTTGGTTTTACTCTCTTCAAAAAAAGCAATAAGAACTGTGGGAGTAATAAAACCCAAAATGTATAATTGTCATTGTACAAAAGAAAAGAAAAGAAAGTGCTCTAAAGGTTATAACTGCATATATGTTTTTTTAAAATTTTATTTAAGGAGAAAAAAAAAGCAGAGAAAGGGTACAAGTTATACAGATTTACAGAAAAAAAATAAACAGTAGGAAATCACTAGTTAATGGATTACATATTGTCATCTTAGAAATAATTGTTCAAGTCACAAAGTTAAAGCTTGTAAAGTGGACATTCCAACAGTGAGACTGCAAACAGTTCTGTTCAATGATCCAATAAAACTCAGTGATATCATTTTCTATCTTATACACTTAAACATACATGCAGTTATATCAGTTAGAGCACTTTCTTTTCCTCTCTTTTGTACAATGACAATTACACATTTTGGGTCTTGTTGCTCCCACAGTTCTTATTACTGTTTTGGAAGAGAGTAGAACCAAATGTGACGTAACAGAACAGAGTCGGTCAAATCAAAAGGGTGGACATAATAGATAACGTAAAAGCATAATACAAGGTGATCAATAATGGTTACCATAATGCCTCCTGCTATCTCTAATAGAATTGCCTATATCATCAGTTATAATAAAATTGAACAAAACAGTAAAGAACCGACAAAACCAAAACATTGGAGACATTGTAGGTCTTCAAAAGTAGATAACAGTCAATGAGAATGGGCGTCATAATGAACCTCACTGTCTTCACAGCTGTTGCCTAAACTTTCGAACCTGGTACTATCAAGCAAAGCAGAATAGGGGGACATCAGTCAAAAACAAGATGGTGAGAGTAATACAGGGCTTTAAATCAAGATAATGGAAAATCAAAGTGGGTTGCTATAATATATCCTGCTATTTTTATTTATTTTTCCCTTAATTAAAAGGATAAAAATAAAAAAGTAAATAATGGAGTGGAGATTGAGATAAAAGAGGGCATAACAGCAAAACAGCGCAGATCAAAACATAACCATTTAAGCAGAATAGTGTTTCACCACAAGATAATCCTGACATAAAAGTAGTTACCATATTGTCTCTTTCCTTGAAATGCTTGAGTACAACTTCGTATATTGTAGCATTAAATATATCAAAACAATGTAAAACCATTTAAGAGAATGACAGCATGACAGGGTATTTAGAATCAACTAACAGAAAATGAACAATGGTTTCTGTGTATATGTTTAAGTGTATAAGATAGATAACCATATTACTGAGTTTTTTTGGATCAGTGAACAAAACTGTCTACACTTCACTATTTGAAAGTCCACTTTATATGCTTTAATTTTGTATCTTGAACAACTATTTCTAAGGTGAGAATATGTAATCTATTAACTAGTGATTTCTTACTGTTTATTTTTTAAATTTTGTATTACTTGTACCCTTTTTCTGTTTTTTTCTTTTTCTCCTTAAAAAAAAAAAGACATCGTCTTCTTGCCCCGTTTTCCATCTCAGGGGTCTTGCCCCATTTTTCATCATGGGGCCTTGTTTTTTGGGTGGGTTACAACAGGTACTTAGAATTAGAGTAGCAAGGTTGACATGAAGTAACCCTGGCTGAGATGCTTTCTTTGGCAGTGTTTTAGACACTTAGCAGTAATCTTCAAAGGAGGGTGTGTCAACTTTTCTTGGCATGGCTTTCATTTTGCACACTGCAGAGCCTCATCTTTTATTTTGGGTAATATTTTCTCCAGGATGCTGCAGGCATAGTGATGAGGCTGCCCAGAGTACCAAATTATCTGATCAGTTTAAGAAAAAAATTGAATGTTTGCCAAAAAAAATGGAATGTTTGAATGTTTAGGTAGAAAAACAACACCTACATTGTTGCTTTGCAGTTCAGAGCACTGCTTGTTCCGTGGATGCTGTAGGAGTCTAGGGCATATCATGGCTGAGCAGCTGGGGACAGCTTACCAATTGAGGAGACTTATTAACCATTGGCTCAGAGCAGCAACACCTAAGCCTGACAGGATTAGGCAGAGTGCTACCCCCGAACCGGTCCTTTGCCTTGAGTATTGATTGTGCCTTGCTCTGGCACCTCATATCAGCCTTCCAGCTCGAGATCAAGTGGGGCCATCTAGATCAACTATCAAAGAAGACATAAAAGGGTGACAGCTGACTTTGGGGCCACTGCCCTCTTGTTTATGCAGTGGCCTGTTCTGCTTGCAAGATGTATCTTTTCTTTCCTTTAAAGCACCCAAATTTTCCCTGAGCACTTGTTTTGCACTTCTTCTCCTCATTTGTTTTTCCTTATTTCTGCTCTAAAATAAATTGGTAATCTTTCACACCTACCAGCTGTTCTAACCAATTTATTGATCAGGACAAATCAGAACCTGGTTCCTACTCCCATCCTATAACAAGATACAGCCACAGAGAAATCTGAGCACTTCAGAATTTTGGTAATTAATTTTAGAGCCTGGTGATCCAAAACAGTAAAGATAATAAATATATCAATGAATATTTTATTTTACTTTAAAAATTATTCCAGTTCTAGTACCCATTGCCATCAACTGGATTTTTTAATCAAAATCAAAAGTATCAAATGCATCAATTGAGGATCTTTATCATTTAGGTATAGACCTAAATTTCAAGGTGTTCAAGGGATAATTTTTTTTCTTGAGACAAAGATCTCAATATGTAGGGTGTGCCCCTGTGTCAACCCTGTAAGTACTGGGATTACAAGCATATGGCACCACACAAGGCAAGGACGGTAGTTCTTAATGTAAGAATATAATGGTTAAGTGCATGAGTTTTGGAGGTAGACAACCTTGAGACTGGAAATATGCTTTTGCTAGCAAGGAGAACTCTCCAAGGCTTAGTGTTATGGTTCGATAACTAGTGGTCAACTTAACACCAGCTGGATTACATCAGCATGCATTGAGAGAAGATGCTCCACCTGAGAAGGGTTGCCAGGATAAATAGGTGGAGAAGAAGAGAGGTGTGGAGAGGGATTGAGGCGTTATGGAGGCATTGTTGGTTCTCCTACGAGTTGCTGTCTGAGCTGTTGGTTCTCCTGGAGAGGCTTTGGTCTTCACATCGAGCATTGCTTCCTGGCTCCAGAGGGGAAGACATGTGCTGCCTGGTCTCCAGGGTGAACTCCTCACGCTGCTTCCTGGCACGTTCCCGACTGTGCTTGTCGTCGGAGGATCTCGGGGCCTCCCTGTTGCTGGGGACAGCTGTGGTTCCTTTCAGGACAGCCCCGCTCTTTGTGGTGAGTGTGACTTCTCAGCTCCAGTGTAGAACCCTCATCCCACTAGCACAGCTCCTTCATCCTGCTGGCATGGACTTTCTGGCTTCCACCGCTGACCCTTGGGTCTTCCCGGCACGAATCCGTAAAAGAGACTGGCGAGAGTCCTTGTGGGCCCTGGACTTCCAGTTGGACTCGTGGAGGCGTTGTCCTGAGCTCTGGGTTTTTATCTGGACTCATGTGGGACATTGCCGTGGGGTTTAGGCTCTTGACTTAAATACCTATGTCGTTGGTGTTGTGGATAGATTTCCTGCATTCTCCTGTGTTAACTTTCAGTGACCATTATAAAAATATTGTAAACTCCATGTCCTGACCTGAGGTGTTCTCTGTGTAATAACCCCTGACTACAACACTTAGACTCCATGAAATTAAAGCGCTCTCTCTCTCTCTCTCTCTCTCTCTCTCTCTCTCTGTCTCTCTCTGTCTCTCTCTCTCTCCCCTTTCACGCTATTCTACCATTAGTGTCCAGCAAATTGCCTGGCACACAATAGAAGCTCAACTATAGGAGTGTTAGGGCTTTGTCTTCCTGTGCATGCAAACTCTTTTCCATTTATTGTGTTCATATGAAAAGACTGTCACTTTGCTCTTACCTGATTGTCAGTTTGACTCTGTACATCATATGTGCTTGAGAAGATGAAATGTCATGTAGAGACCTGATATTCTTTCATTTCTTGTTTCCATTATGCCACTAATTGTTGAAATTACTGAAGAACCTATTGGGTTATTAAGTGGTTAAGTGAGATCAGAAACACATGCCTAATATATATTTTAATATTGAAAAGAATGAGTGAATTCTAAAAACTCAGTGTTGAGAAAGGGAAGAGTGACTGAGACTAATGATAAAGGATTATTGTTTACCCCTTAACATTTCAGTTGAATAATATATTCTGTGACTTGTAATCATCAATGAATTTCATCAGTTCCAAAATTTGGATTTTATAAACAAATCAAACTTTCAGAGGTCTGTTCTCAAGGTCTTTCCTTAATTAGTGGGTGCTTGTGTGATATGTATGTCAGACTTAACTGTCATATTGCAGGTGGCCCTTGTCCACTGCCCTAATTTTGTTAACTTCCCTGATGAAATGTGACTGGTTACTTTCTGACCAGCCATGAGCTAGGACTGGAGGGATCAAAAGGGAAGTGCATGTTTCATATCGAAGCATCCTATGTTATAGGTTATGATAGTGACAAGAAAACAAACAAAAACATGATACAGTAGAGGAATACAAATAAAATGAGGATAAATATCACAACATAAAGTATTCAGAGACTGATAATTCCCAACCCAGTATTAATTCTTCCTGTTTTTCTTATGATAGAAACATATACTGAATTTACACAAAGGGGCAAAATGCTCAATTGGTCTTCATTTTCCATTTTTCTTGCATCTAGATGTGACTGTGAGACTAAGTTCTGGCTAAGGAGAAGCAAGTGGAAGGATTTGGGTTAGATCTCTGAGGAGTCCCGTTAGCATGGGACAAATGACTGGTTCTTGCTGGCTAGAATGTGGATGTAATGTGGAGCTCTAGCAGCCACCCTGGAGCATTAGATCCTGGGAATCTGACCTAGACCAGTGAAAGTCTTGCATACAAAAATAAAAGCAACCAAGGCAACGACTACTCAGGGAAATCCTGCACTGGTTTGTCTCTCAAATTGAGTGCCGAAAGGTATTTATGTTTTAAGTCATTGCTATTTTCACTTTGCTACTAGAGTCAAAACACAATTTCAGATGACGTGAAAAGTACACTTTTTTGAGTAGGAAATGCTAAGGATTAATATGGCACAGTGAAATTAATGTCCTGATAGATGACTTTTAACAGGTGAACAGAAGGAATTGTCTAAATTATTGGAGATCAGGAGTCTATAGAAAGATATTTATTGTTCCAACATACTCTGTAGATATTTTCTTAAATTTGAATTTTTCATATGGCAATGATTTCATCCTTGAAAAAAATGTAAGAATAAGCGTGGTGCTAAAAACACCTCTTATACCAGTTTTCCTCAGATTCACTTATTCTCATCATTTTATAATTTGCTGTCTTCACTCTGTTTACAATTACGATATCAATATTTTTTGAGGCAGCATTATATTTGTATCTTGATGTCCCCCCAAAACTTTATGCAACCATAGGGTTTTTTTCAGAGGTGGTTGAATCTAGAGTGTGATTGATTTCTAGTGCAATGCTGGGATTGAGGCTGCTGGGATTAAGGTGGGCGATTACTGGATCAGCCCACTGATTGGATGGATTGGCACTGCTTTACCCTCAGGAAACTGAATTCGATATAAGGGGCAGAAATAGTCTTGTCTTGCTCTCTCCCTTGTTGCTTTGCTGTCTTCTGCTGCCATGAACCATTGTTCTTCTACCTTGGAGCTGGCCAGTTATGGCCTGAACCTTCTACAAACTATGAACTAAATAAATTTTCCCCTTTAACTTTGTGTATTGGTTATTTTGTGTCAGAAATGAGAAAAGTAACTAAGACCAACAGGGTCTCATTATGCAGTTTTGGCTGGCCTCGAAATCACAGTGATCCTCCTGCCTTAGCCTCTGAGTTCTGGGATTACAGGTGATACCACAATGCCCAATCTTGAGATCAATACTGATGTGAATACTTCACAGTGCTTTACCCTATATCACCTTACAAATATTTCATTTTGTATTTCCTAAGATTAGAAATATTCTCTTTTATCACCACAGCTATCAACGTCAGTAAATTTAACATTGATACACTAAGGTTATCCAAGGTTTTGTTTACATGCGGTTGTCTCATTGATGACTTTTGTACCATTTTCCCTTCCCATTTTTGATCAATCTATTGCCAGATATTAAATTTATTATCATATATTTTTAATCTTCTTTAATCTAGAATAATTCCACAGCCTTTAGTTATGTTTGGTGTCAACATTTTTGAAGATTATGATTCTCTCTTTTTACTAGAAAATTCCTCATTGGTCTTTTGTGTTCTTATGATGAGATTCAGGGTATCTATTCACCACTGAATGCTTTATAGGTGATGGCATGTCCTTTTCAAGATGTTGCCTCTGGTCGCACACAATAGCCATCTACTCCACTCCAGTGATACTAGCTTTAGTCACCAGGTGAAGAGTTGCTTGACTTTCTGTTTGTATAATTATATTGTGTTAAAGTTGAAATTGGCCAGGCGTGGTGGTTCATGCCTGTAATCCCAGCACTCGGGAGGCTGAGGTGGGAGGATCTTTGCGAGTTTGAGACCAGCCTGGGCTACAAAGTGAGCTCAAGGCCAGCCTGAACTGCATAGTGAGACCCCCATCTCAAAAAAGACCAAAAAAATAAAAGTAAATAAAGTTGAAATTGGCTGGCTTGTGGTCAGACACTAAGTCCTTGAAAGAAACTCTGTTCAACAAAATTTTTCCCAATATTTAACATCCATTAATGTTTCTTGATTGATCCAGTGTTCACTATGATGCTACAAGTTAATTTATTGACCAGACGACCTCCCACATTTACCAACCAACACTCAGCCCTCTGTCTTAAGTGAGACACTTTCTTTTTATCTTATCTTATCTTATCTTATCTTACCTGTCTGTCTATCTATCTATACCCATCTGTCATGTGTTATGGAAATCACTCAGTAGTTTATATTTTCATTTGTTGATATTTCATTACTCTAATTAATATTTTGGTGCTCAGTCATGCCTGATTGTCCATATGGGACTTTGTCAAGTTGTTTTTTTGTCCCTTTTTAAAACTCCCTCACTTAAAAAATCATTGTTTTAGGGGCTGGGGATTTAGCTCAGCGGCATAAGTGCCTGCCTTGCAAGTGTGTGGTTGTGAGTTCAATCCCTGGTACCGGAAAAAAAAAATTGTTTTCATTTTAAGATATAACAATATGTTCTAGACTCATCTTGTATCATCATTGCCTAGATTGTAGCTCATTGTAATTAGTGAATACCACATCATATCTTTGAATATTCAGCCTAATTGATTTTTGCACAATAAATGCAATATTAATTTTAAAGTACTCTTAATTATGTTAGTGGTTTAGCATGGTTCCATGGAGTGGAGCCATGTTTCTTTTCAATGGGAAATGATACTAGAAGCCAAATTCTGGGCAGTAAGTATGCTTGATTAGTGGAGTGTCTTAGCATGTTGGCTCTTTCAGTGAATAGAGCTAGAAAGTGTGTGTGTGTATAGGTGTGCTTACATATACATATGTAGACATTTACCCATAGATACACAGTGCACATATATCCATATGCAATTATGTGCATATAAACCTGCAAATATGTAACTGCACATGCATGAACAAGTGCACATATATACTTATACAAATAACAATGTATTTAGAATTGTAAGTCTACATTGCTACCTTCAGTTCTAATCAATCCCCATGGTTCTTTCTTTCCATTTTTAATTGTGAGTTTATATGACACTTCTTCCTCAGTGAGAACTCTGACTCTTAACGATGTAAGTGCATTAACTCATTGTTCAGTACACCTATTTCAGAATCATTCTACTTATACGTTGCAATAACTAAACCTATTAAAATATTTTAGCATTTGTTGGCAATTCTACATTCCACTTTGTTACCCTGCAAATCTTATTTTAATGATATTATTAACCTTATCTCATGCTATGACATATAGTTTCACATTCATTTGGGTTAAGTTCTTGTACAATGGCACATCTTTATTCTACTTCTTTTCCCTCCCCATGCACTCCTCTCTCTCATGTTCTCTTGCATCCCATTTCATTTTCAAGAGATCTATTGCCTTGTCTCCTTCTATCTAGTCTGTGCTGATACAAAAATTGGTGTGTATATATTGCTGTAGTAGGGTGTCTTTAGCTTTTCGGGAAAGATAACTAGGAGACAAATACCTAGGTCTATAAGCTTTCTAATTTTAGTTTTTGAGGAATAACCATACTAATTTCTACAATGGTTGTATTAATTTGCATTTTCACCAGCAATGTAGGTGGGTTCCTTTTTCCCAGAGGATTTGTTACCTTTTGATTTCTTGATGATAGCCATTTTTTTCTGATAGATAAGATGAAATCAGTGTTGCTTTAATTTGCATTTCTCTAGTGGCCAGAGATGCTGACCTTTTCATATACTGCATTTGTTGGTCATCTGTACTTTTTCATTTTAGAAGTGTCTATTCATTTTACTTGTTCATTTCTTGTTTGAGCCTTTTGTCTAATTTTTTGAGTTGTATATGTAATAAACATGAGATAAGATTAATAATATTACAAAGCACAGAAATTGGGAAAGAGAATTTGGAGGAGGAAGTATAAAGGGGATGGAAAAGAGATTTAAAAAAAGGATCATTATATCATGAACACATACCCCAAAATGATTATGAACTGCATGTACTGCAAATGTGTATTAATAAAAAAGAAAACACCTCAAAAACAGGCAAAATATGGTAACATCAATTTTCATGAAGACTATTGAATGAAAAAGCAAATATGTTAGGTGAGTTTTGTCATAGTTTAATTACTATACGATTACGGCAGTGTCCTAACATGGAGGAAGGCTAAAGTGGGAATGCACCACTTCCTCCTTCCTCTTCAGCCCTAACTGCAAATCCCTTTCCCATTTGTGAGTGAAGAAAATTCCAATCATCTCCCATGTCATCAGTGCCTGCCCCAAGTGCTGCTTCTGGTCAAAGGTCATAAAACCTCCTGTGGTATTATTTGTCTCTGGCAAAGTAGATAGCCCAACCAATAAGGGTTGTGAGCTCCTTTCCATATTTTCAATAAATATGTTCTTTTCTTTTTGTCTTTTTTTGAGACAGGTTCTCACTATGCAGTTCAGGCTGGCCTTGAGCTCACTTTGTAACCCAGGCTGGTCTCGAACTCGCAAGATCCTCCTGCCTCAGCCTCCCGAGTGCTGGGATTATAGGCATGAGCCACCATGCCCAGCCTTACTTTTTGCTTCTTATTGCACCAGAAAATCCTAACATTATGCATAAATAGTATTTTTATTATACTATTTTATTATTACTATTATTATTTAAATAGTATTTTAATGAAAGAACAATATTCACGGTCACAAATGTGGACTTCCATCTACTTTTGGGTGAAGACTAAATTTAGCATGAGAATGAGTGGGAATAGTGTATTCCAAAACTCAGTGTTTCTTACGTTTGTCCCACTCATATTGTTGAGTGTAGATCCTAAATGATTAGCATCTTAAGATGTGTGTGTGTGTGTGTGTGTAATCACTATTGGAAAAGCACCAACATCTTTTTTAAAAAAATGAACTGGCTATGTTTAGACATTTTTCTTTTTCACTGCTCAACAAAAATAGCAAGTTGCAACTTAATTGTTTATGGCTAAGTGAAGAAAGCTACTCTGAAATGTTTACACACTGTGTAATTCCAAACACACAACAGTTTGGAACAGACAAAACTACAGACATAGTAAAAGAAAAAAAAAAAAATCAGTGGTTGCCAGAGGTTAGGAAAGGAAGGGGAAGGATGAACAGGTGGGGCACAGCCACTTTCAGGATGGTGAAACTACTCTGAACGATGAAAGAGATCTGAGGTATTATGCATCGGTCCAATTCTGTTGAATGACACAGCACAAAGAGATAACGCTAATGTAAACTGCGGACTCCAGTTAATAATAATGTAGTAATGTTGCTTGTCAGTGGTAACAAGTACATTATACTGAAGCAAAATGTTAATGAGGAGAAACTGAGGGTTAGGAATAAGGGATTAGTCGATATCTTTCTGTTTAATTGTTCTGGGAACCTAATGCTGCTTTAAAAAATTAATAATTAAAACAAAATAGCAAATTGCAATTCCAGAACTACTCAGCTGGAGAAACAGCTTGTATTGTATTGAAAATATTTAAAGCATACCCAGCATGGTATTAATTAATATATCATTTAATTTGTATGCTGTAATTCCAACACTCAGGCATCTAAAGCAGGAGATCACTGAGAATTTGAGGCCAGCCGGGGCTACATAGCGAGTTCAAGGCCAGCCTGAACTGCATCATGAGACCCTGTATCCAAAAGACAAAACAAAGAAACGAACAAAATTCTTGGCTTAGGGACACTAAATTTATTTTCCATGTATGTGTGAAAAGGAACGGAGATGCTTTCCCCCATCCAGATCCGTACTTTCTGGGCTTACTACCTTGTTTAAATAGACCTAGAGTACTGAGACTTTAGTATCACTCTCACCTGTCAAATATTTATTATCGAAATTTGTTATTGTCCACCCCACCTGGTCCTTTGGATTTGCTGCCTTTAATAAATTATTCTGCATTCTTCATCTTCTCTGCCATCGTTCTCCTCCAGGGTAATTTTATCTCTTACCAAACTGTAGCACTCTCCTACAAGTTCTTGCCAAACTCAGACTTCTGCATCTAGGTTAATAAAAAAAAAAAAAACAAAACAAAACAGCAGACTCCCCCCCCCAAAAAACCCCCAGATTTAATTGAAGTAAAATATAAACAGTAAAATGTTCAGATTTTAATTATACCGCTTAATTAAATTTTATATGCACTTATAATCATCATTTAGGATACACAGATTACAGAGCTAACCTTGAGTAGCTGAGAAACGTCCTGCGGGCCATTGTTGCAATAACCTAGATCCAGCCAATGGGGAGGAGAAAGGACTGATAACAGAAGGCAGCCTTGTCTCAACTTAACTTCTGTGGGAGGAAAGTTAATTAAGTGGGCACACCCAACTACAAGGGCCTGGGGAACTTAGTTCCAGGTAGGCAGCCATGTGCCCAATCACAGCTTCATTATACTGGATGAAAGGGAAAATTGTCATGGACAACTAGCAGCCTCCACTGCAACGTTAATACAATGTCAATTTTTCCAATTCATAAAACATTTTCTAGCTTGTCCTACAGTTAGCAAGTCTTTACTTCCTGCCAGGAGGTTTTACTTTACTTCCCCTCAGAGTTCAAGAAATACACAACAGTAGATGATCATGTGGCCCATTAGCCAGACACTGACAGTGCTGGGCAACAGCAGAGACCTCACCGTTTCAGCCGCCAGCCCTGCAGCCTCTGCTCCCAGCATCACATTGCCTTCTTTCTTCCCTCTGATAAGAAACCTGTGATGGCACCAGGACCAGGACAATCTCCCCATTTGAAGGTTCTTCACTTAATTATACTGCAAAATTATTTTATAGGAGGTAATATAGTTGTAGACTTTGGGGGTTTTCTTGCATGCCAAAATTTAGTAAGCATAATTAATGTTAAATAAAAGAGTTATTAATGGTATTTGTCAAAGATAAGAAGCTGCAAGGAGGGTCCACTACAAAGGAATGTTGTTATAGGGGAGAGATTTAGTTTTAACTCTAAATAAAATAAACTGAAAATTTAAAGGCAAAGATCAAGACAAGGGTTAGTCAATGTATGGAAAATTAAAATTAAGAGAGGAAATATCAGAGGTCCAGAGGATTCAGGGTTGCTGAAGATGGGACAGAGGAGGTAGGTGTCCCTGGGAGATGGTGAAGGGCAAGGACTTTGATCAGATATTGAAGGTGATTAGATACAGAAGATATCTAATGATCTGGCAAACAGACTTAGCAGAACTTTTGCTAAAATTGGTCAACAGAATTAAACACAGAAGCCTACCTGAGAAGTATGCTCAGAGCCGTAACAGAGTTTAGTCAAGGAACTCACGTAAAGCCTGGCTCGTGGCTAAGGAGTAGATCTGTCAGTTTTTTGTCAGTGTGACAAAATGCCTAAGATAATCACCTTAAGAGGAGAAATGTTCATTTATTTATTTTTTGACTCATGGTTTCATGTATTTCCATCCATGATCAGTTGGCTCTGTTGCTTTGGCTTTGTTGGCTTAGTAGACTATGGTGGGAGCACGAGGTAGAGCAGCTCCTCCAACCCTGGTAGTCAGGAACAAAGAGAGACAGGAAAGGGCCAGCATCCTAATATGTTCATCAAGGGCCCCTACCTTCCTTTCACTTGGCCCCACCTACTAAAGGTTCAAACCTCTCCCAGTGGTTCTAGGGGCTGAGGACCAAGTCTCTAATACAAGGGCCTTTGGAGGCATTCAAGATCCAAACAACAGCAGAGAGAGAATCTTTGTCTCTAATGTGGTGCATATTGTACTGCAATCTGTATTTTTGTGAGATGTCATTTCCAAAACAAGTTCTTATATCTATTAAGGCTAAATATTGAAATGAATTTGGAATCAAGTATTCAAGTTATATGCTAATCAACCTAAAATAACTACAAAATAATATTTTTGAGAAAAGTTTTTAGTTACACATAAAGCAAAATAATTAAAATAGCATCTGTATTGTCCTTATACTATTTCTGTTATGTATATTAAACTATAAATTGTAGGTGTCAGTAAGAGTTTTGCCAAGGAAATAGAAAGATGAGGAGGACAGAGATTATGCAGAGTTGCTGATGATTTTAGGAAATAGAGAATATCAGGAATTATAGGAAATGGCCGACAGTGATTCAGTTACCTGTTCACTCCTGAGAGGAATAATTCACAGGAGGATGCTGGGAAGCTTCTGGAAACACCTTACTTCTACCGTCTGCCAAAATGAATGATTTGCCTAACAGCTGCTCAGGAACAATATCACGGCTCCTGCTTGTAGCCTATGTTCAGAGCACATGTGAATATTTCTCCCAGGATGGTTATGATCCAAAGCCTGGCTGACAGACATTCTGCAAAATAGACTTACAACCCAAAGATTTTGGAAGGTGTATGGTGCTGAGGCCATCTACAAAACACACAAAAAATAGAGTTACAGATATCTAATGTAAAAATGAGCAGGCAAATCTATAGGTGGTTTGCACCAAATATGTTTTTTATGCTAGTAGGGGTGTGAAATAAAAATGTAGGGGTAGAAAGCTTGCAGTACCTCGCAATGCTAAGGAGTCTCTTTCGTGCTGTCCAATCTTCCAGCAGTGTCTCTAAGTTGAAATCATTTTTCTTGCCATCAGTACCTCCTTCTTTACCATCCAACAGCCTTTTCAGACACACTGGGTTCCTGCTCCTTTCCCTTGTGCAGGTCCTGTGCTATGCAGCTGGTCTTTGGCTGCGAGTACTTTCCTGTTGAAAATCAACCTGTTAAGTAGGCAACAGAGGACGAAGATGACAGGGCAGCACTATATTCTCTTGGCATTTGTGTGGACTGGACAGAGGGAAAGCCTGAAAACCTCTCTCCATTGATTATTTCTGCTCCAGCACAAAAACAGAATTGAAACAGGCAGTGCAAGTTTCCGCCCAGGAGGTCATTATAATTTAGTCACAAAGAGCTAATGTCCTACACATATTTTACATGATTTCTTTCTTTTTTATTTTTCTTTTTTGATGTTTTTGATGTTTTTGAGGCAGGGTTTCACTATATGGTTCAGGCTGACCTTGAACTCACTTTGTAGCCCTGGCTGACCTTGAACTCACAGTGATCCTCCTGCCTCAGCCTCCCAAGTGCTGGTTGATAAGATTATATCCAAAAGATGAGAAGTATAGAACAAAAGAGGCCTTTATTCTGAGAACACAGAGAGAGAAAATCAAGACACCCCCGACCACAGGAGTCCGGCTTTTTCTCTGGTGGACACATGGCATGGGGGGTATATAAGTAGCCTCGGTTTGAAGTGGAACCTAAGGGGGCATTAGGGATGCACAGGTAGCCCATTGGTCTTTGTTTGGTGCCATAGGTAAATTCTTAAGGGTTGGAAAGATAGAGTCACAGGTAAACTCCTAGGGGTGGGGGAGATAGGAGCTCCTTGGTTCTGCCTCTAAGGCTTCACCAGCTACAGTGTCCTGTCTGGGCCAAAACTCTTTCATATCCTGTCTTATGATTATTATTATGAAAAGGGGTGAAGATTTCTCTCTTTAACTACTTCCTGCTGGCAGGGGGTGCTGTACTGGAGTTTAGGGGAGTCGATGGGATGACGATTGATGCCCAGGTAGACACTGGTGCCAGGTGTTTTAGTCAGGACAACTTCACTGGTGAATGCACGTGTGTTAGACTAGAAAAACAAAGAGACAAGATGTTATGAGGAGTCATGGCACTATCATATTTAAGGACCCAGGTGAGGTAGAAGGAAAGGTGCCTTTGATTTAGACATGTCATTATATCAGGATGATGTTGAGGTAGGATCATTGTCACGGTGAGGTAGAATTCTGAAAAATAAGTGTGAGGTTAGGAGGAGTGAAGTTATGAGAGATGATTACACCCTATCTTAAAGGGTAAAAGTTAAAAGGGTAGGTGGGTAAAACTTGTCTAGTCTAGTCCTGGAAAAAATAGGGGGAGCAGGGAAGGTGGTGGCTGTACCAGTATAGGGAAGGTAACGGCCTAGGCTTTCAGGGGTGTCACGTTTAACCAAACAGCTGAGGGTAGAAAGAGCTAAGACAGTTGTAAGCTACTGCTTGAAAAGAAGGTCCCTTTTTGTATCCTAGTACACCTATAGCATTGTGGCCCTAAGAAGTAGTGTATAGGGTGAAAGGTTGGGTGGGATCAGGAAGGGTAAGAGCTGGAGCTTTTAGGAGAGCCTCTTTTAATTTACGAAAGGAGGCATGTATGGGCCTAGTAGGGTCCAGGGTTTCTGATAAGGGACCCTTAGTGGCCTTGTAGAGGGGTTGATCGAGGGCTGCAAAGTTAGGAATCCAGAGATGAAAGAAATTAGCTAAACCTAGGAAAGATGTAACCTGTTATTTAGTTGTAGGCACCTGGAGATCACGAAGAATTGCCTTACGATCTGAGGTGATGGAATGAGTGGTGGGGGTGAGAGTGAGACCTAGGTATTTGACTTTTGAGGAGGCTATCTGGGCTTTAGCAGGAGAGACCCTGTATCCATGACTAGCAAGGAAAATAAGAAGACTGGCTGAATGGTGTATGGCTAACATGTGGGATGGAGAACATAATAAAGGTTGTCTATGTATTGAAGAAGAACACTAGGTTTGAGATCAAGTTCTGTGAGGTTAGTAGCGAGAGCTTGACTAAAGAAGCGGGGACTATATCTGAACCCTTGGGGGAGCACTGTCCAAGTAAGTTGTTGAGATCTGAGAGTGGGCTGGGGATTTAGCTCAGTGGCATAAGCGCCTGCCTTGCAAGCAGGCAGTCGTGAGTTCGATCCCTGGTACCGATAAAAAGGAAAAAGACAAAAAAAAAAAAAAAAAAAAAAAGAAAGAAAGAAAAGAAAAAAAAAAAGAGACCTGAGAGTGTCTGGGTCAGTCCATGTAAATGCAAAGAGGTCTGGAAATCAGAGTGTAGGGGGATAGCAAAGAAGGCATCTTTAAGATTTATAACTGTAAAGTGAGTGGTGGAAGGAGGGATATGAGAGAGCATGGTATAGGGATTTGGCATGACGGGGTGAGTTGGGGTAACAGCACTGTTGATTATCCTAAGGTCCTGTACCAGGTGCTAGAAACCATCAGGCTTGAGTACAGGGAGAATGGGAGTATTGTGGGGTGAATGGGTAGGTTTAAGAAAACCATTGTCCAAAAGGCACTTAATTATGGGTTTAAGTCCCCTTAAATGTTGGGGAGCTATGGGGTATTGGGGAACACAGGGAAAAATTGAGGGACCCCTGAGACAGATTAAAACAGGCATGCCATGTGAAGCCAGAGTGCTTTGGATGTGTCCCAAGCTATGGGGTCAACCAGAGAAGGAGGAAAGGGAGGGAATGGCTTTGCAATGCATTGTGAGACTATTTGGAGGATTAGGGCTGTGGGGAGAGAGAAAGTAAAGGAAAAATTAAGCTTTTGAAGAAGGTCTCTACCTAAAAGGGATGTGGGACATGTTGGGATTACTAGGAAGCTATGGGTAAAGAAGAGTCTGGAATCGACATGGGACAGACCAGTTTGCAAAGGCTGGGTAGGCTAGCTGTCAACGTCCACAACAGAAATCAAGGACTTACTACAAGGTCCTGAAAATTCAGGAAGTACACTATAAGTCGCCCCCATATCTACAAGCCAAGATATTATCTTACCTGAGACCTCCAGTGAGACTCAGGGCTCCAACAAGGTTACCGGAGAGGGGGTTGTGAGCCCCGAGCCCCATCAATCTTCCACAGCAAGTCCGAGCAGATCAGTCAGCGACGAATCTGGCATTGACGGAGTCTCCTGTGAGGGCAAGGAGTTAGAGGATAGCTTACCCGCTCGCTGGCAGCTAGGACAGTCGCTCTTCCAATGGCCCTTAACATTGCAGTAGGGGCATGGCCCTAGAGGAATGCCAGGGTTGGTGCAATCTTTTGCCCAGTGACCTTGTTTGCTGCATTTAAAGCACAGTCTGGATGGAACTCAGGCAGCCACACCTTGTTTCGGATTTCTTGTCCTGGGAGCCCCAAGTGCCACTGCTAAGAGATCAGACTGATATTTAGCAAACTTTATTTTTTGAGCATGTTTTTCCTCTTTTTGAATTTTATCTCTGTTGTTGAAGACACGGAAAGCTAATTTAAGAAGATCCCCTTGTGGAGTCTGAGGGCCATGTTCAACCTTTTGTAATTTTGCACGAATATCAGGAGCAGACCGGGAAATAAAATAAGAGTTAACAACAATTATCCCTTCATGAGAGTCTGGGTTTACATTAGTGAACTTAATTAAGGTTTCCCAAAGCTGATTTAGGAATACAGCTGGGTTTTCATTAGCCTCCTGGACCTGTTCTAGAAGTTATAGTTAGTATGTTTGTGAGCAATCTTATTAAGGCTCACAATTAGACACTCAATCATTTTATGTAATTTTGTTACATTTGTTACATTTTGTTCTCCATTTTGATAGTTCCAATTAGGATCTTGTTCTGGCACAGCTGTAGGCCTAGGGTCATTATCAGCGGTGTTCACCTTATGTCTGCGACCAGCTTCTTCTCGAGCTGCCTGCCACAGCTGAGTTTGCTCTTGTGAGCTGAGAGTGGTATTTAGAATCACATAAACATCCTTCAAATGTAAATCATAACAATTAGTTATAAATTCAAATTGCCTGATATAATTCTGTGGGTCAACAGAGAAGCTATCTAATTTATGGGTAATCTGACATAAGTCAGAAAGGGAGAAAGGCACATGTGTATTAACAAGTCCCTCAGGGCCAGCTTGCTCCCGAAGTGGTAGCAGAGATTGAGGAGAAGATTGCGGAGTAGATGGCCATTGGGCAGCCATCCGTCCGGTAGGTGTGTGTGAGCAATTATCTGTAGAGTGGCTACAAAGTGGCTGCCAGTTAACATGAGATGAGGAAACAGGCAGTTGGCGCCTCACTGTGTGCTTTGCAGCGATGAAATTGCTGTCCACAGCATAGTGAACCATCATGTGGTCCACAACAGGGTGGCTGTTGCTGATCACAAGAGGAGCCACAGGGGATGTCCATTGACCATGAGATCTTTCCCAAGATGGCAGCACTCTTTCACATGGCAGAAGGCCACAACATGGCAACGGTCCCTGGCTCAAGCTGCAACAGTCACGTGGTTTGCCAGAAGGACATAGCGACTGAGACCCTAGTATGGTGGGTGAGGGATGAGAATGCCATAGGGGACAGAGAATTCTCAGGAGAGTAAGAGGTTGGAGACTGGGAGGAAGTGCTAACAGAAGGATTAGAGCCACTGGGAGAGTTATGGGTCCTGGGAGATGGAGGGGAAGGCGATCCCACAGTGGGAAATAACGGCGAGGAATGATTTTGGGGGTAGGGAGGAGGCAGCTGGTAAAAAAATTGGGGGTACTTCGTCTAGCGGATCATGAGGGCAAGAGGGAAGAGTTTGTTGGGCAGCAGAGTTAGCTAAAAGTACCTGGGTAGGGGTGCAAGATTTAATGAGAGATGGGCATATTCTCAGAGCAAAGACATCCTGTATATAAGGGATCTCTGTTTACTTGTCACCAGTTTGGCAGAAATCATACAGATTTTTGAGAATATAGGGGTCAAACATCCCCCCTTTGGGCCATGGGCTGCCGGTAAGTGGGTAGGTCGGCCAAACCTCCTGGCAGTAAAAAATTAATTATTTAGTTTTTATGGTGCACTTAATTTTAAGAGTCCGTAGATTGGAAAGTAAGCATTGATTAATTCAGGCAAGAAACGAGCCATGGTCCAGAGGTTGAGCCATCACTCGTCTCGTGACACCAAACGGTAGTTAGGGTTCCAAAAACTTGTATTTCTTAGACATCACTGAGAGATGTATGAGTGGCTTCCACGTGGGTTCAGTAATATTTCTGCCCATGAGAGCATAAAGCTCCGAGGGACGTGAGGGTCTTAGAGTGTGAGTCAGTCCAGGAAAACTCTGCCTTGGGCTATCTGAACCCAAAGGATGTGCGAGTTTTTGAGTGTGGATACAGGTTGCCCAGAAAGACCCTGCCCTGGGCTGTCTTAAGGATGTGAGAGTGTCATGAACCCATGGAAAGTGGGGAGAAAATCTGCCTGGGGCTGAGCCCAGTGCCGAAGAATTCTCTGGAGTTTGCTTACCTGAGATTAATCAGGCAGGTGCTGTGTGAGACCAGTTGGTGACAAATTAAGCAGGTCCTGGGAGCCGAAAAGTGGAGAATTATTCCAGGATGTAATCCGGTTCGTGAATTGGCTGGGGACTCGAACTGGGTGTGTCTCAGGAGTCAATTGCCTGTCGATCGAGTCACGGCACCAAATGATAAGATTATATCCAAAAGATGAAAAATATAGAACAAAAGAGGCCTTTATTCTGAGAACGTGGAGAGAGAAAACGAACCCCCCCCCCCCACTGCTGGAGTCCGGCTTTCTCTCTGGCGGTCATGTGGCGTGGGGGGTATATAAGTAGCCTCAGTTTGGGGTGGAACCTAAGGGGGCATTAGGGATGCACGGGTAGCCCATTGGTCTTTGTTTAGCACCATAGGTAAATTCCTAGGGGCGGGGAAGATGGAGTCACAGGTAAATTCCTACGGGTGGGGGAGATAGGAGCTCCTTGGTTCTGCCTCTAAGGCTTCACCAGCTACAGTGTCCTGTCTGGGCCAAAACTTGTTCACTGGTATGATAGGCATGTTTACATGACTTCTTTAATACCTTTCTTGCTTTTCAGCTCTCTTTCTGACCCCCAGTAACTTATTATTTCATTTCCCCCATCCATGAACAAGTAAGGGATTCTCCTTTTTTTTTTTTTTTTTTGGTACCCACGTTCAAACTCATGACCTTGCACTTGCCAAGCAGGCTCTTAAATCATGCACTAAATCCTCAGCATGGAATTCTTCTTTATTAAAAACAAAACAACAGCAAGCAAAAAAATTTTTCAATGCTCCACCCACTCCACTTCAGCCTTTGGGAGGGTCATGGCTGGTTCAGAAGTGACTCACAGGACCATGACAGCTGACTCCCCTGCGTGTCAACAAGATCAGCCCTTGATGACAGCACAGCTCACCTCTGCAGGCTTCATGATTTACTCAAGCAGAATGAGGTGCTTCCCCTTGGAATACAAGGCCAATGGAGCAGTAGCACTTTATCTGTACAAGGGAAAGAGCCCACGTCAAAAATTGGCAAGTAAGGTCTAGAAGGAATTCAAGTGGGATTACAGAGTGGGAGCTGGAAGCAAATATTTTTCAAGTCTTTGACTTTTTCAAGACCAATATGGTCTTTGTAAGTAAGGTTACGGTGAAAAAGACAGTGGGGTTCTCTGCTCAGAGTTGTCTGTGGGAAGGAAAAGAACCCCAAAGAGAGCCCGCTCCAGCCCGAGGCATATCTTCCCTCTTGGAACACTACAGATAGTTGAGTCCACCTTCCTGAGTTCCCAGCTGCACTGGGAATGTCAGGAGCCATTTCATCAGTGGTTCAGGGAGGAAAGCAAGAAAAAAGGAGGAAGTAGACAAGGTATTTTGCACAATGCCCTCTTTTACTTGGTCCACTACAGGAACTCTTGTTTTGTTCTGTCTCACTCTGTAGTTCAGCTGGCCATGAACTCACTATATAGCTCAAACGGCCCTTGATCCTCTTGCCTCAGGATTGCTGGAATCATAGGTGTGTACCACCATCCCCAGTTTGCCACAGGAACACTTGCCAGGATAAACTTTTTGTCATTGTTGTTGTTTTTTGTTTTGATTTTTAATCTTAGAGGTAACAGTAGCAGAGGAAATCTCTAGGCATTTTGATGTAAAGGTGGATTTTTGGATAAATACAATTTCATAGTTTTTTTCCTGGAGACTCTAGATGATCCTGTGCTTCTGGGTGAGGAACTTGTTTAGTGTGCCACACCTCCTGGGAAAGACAGCTGCCAAATTCCTTTGCACAAATCCCCAAAGAATGTCTTTGCCTTTGAGAACATTCACTGGGCCTGGTCAAGTTTGGCTGTGAAGGGCAGGTTGGCCCACAGGGCGGGCTGCATACCTATCTGAGGAGACCCGGAAAGCTTCCGGGCAAAGCAAATGGCAGTCAGTGGGAACTTGCAGAACATTAGGCTCTGTTTGCCTGGAAGGTCTGAAGTGCTTAACTGGCTCTCAAGAATCTGTTTCTTTCCTTTCTTTCTTTCTTTTTTTTTTTTTTTTTTAAGCATTTTGTACTGAGATACATCTCTACCCTTTTTCTTATTTTTCATTTTGAGATACAATCTTGCTAAGATTCTCAGGCTGATCTTGTGATCTTCCTGACTTACCTTCGCATTGTGCCGGTGATTATTATTTTTTAAACTTTGGTTACCTTCAGAAAATCTTCTCTAACATAATTGTTTAAGTTGTATTTAATAGGACTCTTTATTGAGATTTTACTGTTGTTCCTAGATATGCACTTAATTGTACATATTTATGGAGAACAGTGTGAAATTTCAGTGCATGCCATACAATGTGTGATGTTAAGATCAGGGTAAGTGACACATCTGTTACCTCAGATGTGGATCATTTCTTCATGGTGGAAACATTCAAAGTCTTCTCTACTAGAGAGTTTGAAATATACAATTAAACACTGTCAACCATAGTTATCCACCATGGCTCTATAGAACACAAGTTATTCCTCCCCCGCAGCTGCGTGCACAGCTGGGCAGGATAGCCAGCCAGCCTCACTGCAACCCTTGGAGCCCCACCCTAGCCCAGCCCAGCCCCTCTGATGTTCACCATTCCACGCTCAACTTCTGTGTGACCAACCTTTTAACTTCCATATGTAAGTCAGAACATGTGGCATTTGTCTCTCTGCGCCTGATTGATTTCACTTAGCATCACTGACACAGCTTTAAACATTTCTCAGTTTTGTGAAATACGTTGGCATTCACTTCTTCTAAGCTGTGCAGTTGACACCAGGAGCACCTGGATGACCCCAGAGTTCTGTCTGCCAGGGGCTGTGCTGAGGAGTAGAGGGACAGGTGGCAGATGGTGTGTGAGGCATTCGAGAATGATCCTCAACTTGATATATATATATATATGTATATATGTATATATATACATATATATATATATATACACACACACACACACACACACACATACTGTTGGAAGAAATAAAAATTTAGAAAGAAGAACAAAGAACCATAGACTTTATAAAGAAGCTTGATTAAAACTTAGTGGAAATTACTTTTACTGTAAGAGATTTTACTTTCTCAATTTTTATTTGAACCTATTTTAATAGATGTAAAGTGGGGCTATTTGGGAAAGGAAAGGCAGGGAGTGAACACATGGTTTTAGGTACCAGTCATCTGGAGATAACACATCTTACATATGCCTCTTTCCAGAGTCTGAGAATATCAGAGTGTACAGATTAGACACGTATCTTTAAAAAAATGGACACGGGTGGCATACACTTCATGTATTCTTACTGATCCGGTAACAGGAATACATCAACCTTGTTTTTTAGCTCATAATTTCTATTTATGTTTATTTATTTATTGTTACTGGAAATTGAACTCAGGACCTTTTGCTTGCCAGCCAGGTGCTGTGCCACTGAACTAAATTCCCAGCCTGTAATTTTCATTTAGGCTGTGATGGCTTTTTCTCCTGATGCTGGACGTTTTTTTATAACACTTGCCAAAAACTGATAGGGAAATAAGTTGTTCTGAGAAATATGCATGTATTGGAAATCTCTCTGTACCTTCCTATTTGTTGGACAGGGCTCATGAGCAAACAAATGAGCAAAGTGGGTGGATTTAATGTGGTACAATGTTGGAGTGTCAGTGAGGGCCCAACTCTCCGGGAGAATCACATATTTTGGCTGGGAATGAAAAGGGATTCCTGTCATTTTGCTAGGGACTTGCCCTGGATCCCTAGTGGCTGTGTATCTGGAATGAGCCCCAGAACTGCTCCAAGAGTTTAACAGTGGACAGAACGTGAAGTCAACTGACTTTCCTTATGTCCTTTTGTTGTGTTCTCTTTGGATTTGTGTTGTTGCACAAGCAAAGATGAAGCACTTGTGTTCCAAGCCTCTGTCCATGGGGTTGGCCATGGGTGTGTAAGACGGAGATCCACTCCCTGTTTCTGTGTTGCAGAGTTACAGTTAGACTGGATAGACGAGTCAGGTTCCGTGAGTGCGCCTTAGAGGGAAAGATCTTAATATCCACATCCAAAGTCACAGGCAGTGGTGGGAATTCCAGGGTGGCCTCCAAGCACAGAGAATACACACACTGCAGTGGAAAGTCTTTTCTCTCACACATCATAGAATATCACACAGCAGTTGTGAGAATGAAATCAGGTAAGTGTAGCACCTAGAAGCTTACGTGACGTGGTAAATGGTTAAGAAATGATCCTTAATTTCAAATGGAGTCCATATTCACTTGCAGAGGCCAACCTCTGCATTTGTACCTGCCCAAAGGGCAATGAAGATGAAACACAAAGAGATACAGATTTAGCTTAAAATATGAGGGGCCAGGGGAAACTCTCATTTCCCTTTGACAGAGTCCCAAGTGACTGACTGCTCCACCCTGCCTTTTCACTCACATATGGCATGAGCAATCAGTAACACAGGATTCATCCATCGTCCTCCCACCATCAAGGTGTTCATCTAGGTAAATAAGAGGGTCTGGGCTGTGTTCACCCTTCCCTGCAGCGAATCAGCATGCGCTCACGCTGCCTCATCTGGACCACTCGTATCCTTATCTGGAAAATGCAGTTTTGACTAAATGTTAGGTGTACAGAGAGCAAGAGAAAAGTAGGGTTGAGTGGCACGAGCCTGGGCCTGGCCGAGTGCTGCAGCCCGAGCCCTTCCTCTACCACGTTGTTTGTAGCTGCTTCTGCCAGAGCAGTAGAGTTGAGTTTTCATGTATGGCCCACAACACCTAGAAGAAAATATTTACTGTCAGCCCCCTTTAATAAAAAGGTTACCAGCTTATGACCACAAAGAATAAGAGGATTGACACTAAGTAGCTTCAGGTACATTAGTGGTTGAGACTGTCCTAATGATTTTATTGTGTCAGGCTTTCATATCAACCTCCTTTTCTAGCTGTACTTAGAGTCAAGGAGTGTCCATACTGTCTGTCAATGTTGGATTTGTTTCCAGTTTTTATTTTTAATTAGTACATGTTTGTATTGCTCATGTCATCAGTTACCGAATGATTACATTCCTTGTGGGGGGTTGGTATATGTACATAACACATCTCAATTCTTTTTTCATCTCCCTTCCCTCTCTCCCCTCTCCTCGTTTTCCATCTTTTAATTCCCTTCTCATTTGAAAAGAACCCGTCTCCCTACTTTCTAGTAGATACTTTTGATTTTGCTCTTGACTTATATTTTGACTTTCTCATGTAAGAGAAACCATGCGATACTTAAGCTAGTGTGTCTGATTTATTT